GGGCCAAGCCCCCAAAGGGTCCTCAGGGCCTCCTGCTTGGGGGGGCTGGGTTGGGCCGGGGAATGCTGGGAGTTGAAGTCCACACATCTCAAAGTTGCCAGGGTTGAAAAACGCTGCCAATTAGACCCTCCCTAAGAGGCAGTAAGTGCACAAACAAGCCGAGGGGGGATTTTCTCTGGCGAAGCATCTCCCAGCGAAGACAGCAACAAAGGATACTGGCAGCCGCACCCTCCTGTCCGCCCGGCTCTCCAGGGCAGCCGAAGCAGGCAGGATAAACCTCAGCAAGGCTGGCTGCTTAATCCCCTCTGGCACTCTTGAGCTGCTCTGCCCAAAGCGAAACCCGGCTCTCTGTCCCAGGGAACGGGCAGCTGCTCGGGTGGCAGATCACATGGCAGCCCTGGCACCGGGGGAGGCTGCAGTGGAAGCCCCAGCCGGCTGAAGGCCAGGAAACGCCGAGCGATCACTGGGGCAGCTTCCTAGTTTTGTGCATCCACCTCCCCACCCCAAATCGTCCTTTGCTTAGAAGTCAATGCCCCACTTATTGTGGGAAGACCGGCCACAAGATGAGGACGCAGGCCTGGTCTCTTGCTCTTGAGGGGAGGGGGAGTCAAAGGGAGAAGGAAACCCCCAGGGACGGGGCCCCTCTCAGCCAGAAGTGGCCCCTGCTGCCTTTTGCAAATCCTCTTGGCTGTGGATGTCAGGAATCTAAAATGGCTGTTGAAGAGTTTTCTCCAAAATCTGCCATAGCTTTTGGACAGCCCCCCACCACCAATGGAGTGTAGAGAGAGGAGCCCCCCCACCCAAGTCCTGTAGGAGGGAATTGCCTTTCCCTCTCGCAGGTGCCTGGAGGAACTGAGAGCAGTGACTGGAGCTGAGCCTCAGAGAGTGGCAGGGACCAGGCAGCCGAGGGCAGGCAAGGCCCCTCCTTCTTTCACAAGAAGTGGGGAGAACAGCGGCAGTGGGTCAGCTTATCCCAGCCTGCCAGTGGCCTCGTGTGGGCAGCAGCTCCCACCACCCTCACTGAGGATCAGGATGCTGGGCCCTGTGGTCCATCACACCTGGAGGGCAGTAGCTTCAACAGCTGCCTGGGAAAATGCTCGGTCCCAGATCTGACCTGGGTTAGGCAGTTCCTCCGGTCCCCAACCAGAGCTCGACCTGTCCAAGGCGAGGCCAGGGGTGCTTCTGCCGGACCGCTGCTTGTTTCAGTCAGCTGAATCCCCCAAACCCCGGGCTGAGCTGTGGGGGCAAAGAAGCGGGTGACCACTTCAGCTTTTGGCGGCATTTCAAAGCCTGGGTCTGCATCGCGGATGCTGGTGGCAGGAAGGGTGGTCACCTGTCCCCTCTGGGATGGGTCTCTTCCTGCTCGGAGAAGCCGAGGAGGCCGCAGGATCCTTGGAGGGACTGAGAGGCCTTGAGAAGAACATCCCTGGCCTCTGAGCCCTCCCTCCGCTTCCCTGACGCAGGGCAAGGGAGTGGGTGAGGCTTTCACAATCGCTGTGAGGTCGGGGGTGGGGTCAGCAATGGCAGAGTTTCCAAGGTTGGTGGAAACTTAATACTGTAAGCTTATCCTGCTGCTTTTGTGTCAGCCTGATAATCCCCTGGCACCAGAGCATGTTTGCTGAATCTTCACCTCAGAAAACAGGGCGGTGGCGCAACTGCAGGGGTTCCTGCGCATGTGGGGAGAGCTCCCCATTCCCAGTGGAGAACAGCAAGAGGGGCTCTGCTCTCGGCTGGGCGTCTCCCTCTGAGGTAGGCGCAAAGAGAGGCCGACCGACAGGGGCTCAGATGGGCAGCTTTGTCAAGACCGCTCTGCAGGGGAGGCCCTTGAAGCTGTGAGGGTCTCCAAGCAGAGGGGGGGCTTCTCATCTTTTTCATCTTCCTGACCCCCCCCCCATATCCCCATTTCCTTCTGCACTGGCCCTGTGGGTTCCTGGCATCTTAGGCTTTTCTGCAGAAGCCTTGGGTGAAAATTCTGGGCTCCGCGGGCAGCTCAGCCTGCCTGGCATGCCTGACAGGGACATCTGGAGGGAGGGCCACCCATCCTCACCGGCTACTCCCAGGCCAGGCCACTGAGAAATGTCCAGGAGAGTCCTTTCCTCTCTGCCTGGCGATTCTCCCAGGGTGCAGGTCTCCTGGCAGCGGCTTCTGTCCCAGGGAGAAAGCGTTATGCAAGCAGGTGATGCGGCTATCAGAGATCGAAAGCCACCCCATCTCCAACGCCCAGCCTGCCTTCGGAGCCGCCCTGAGGGATCCGGTTCTGCTAGGAGGGGACACGCCTTCCTCTTGGTCCCTGTACCCAGGGCATAAAAGCAGGCACGGGAGGCGGTACCTGTGCCCGCTGGCTTGGTCAAAGCCTTCTCCCAGCCAGGGCAACGGGGTTCCAACCATGGAAGCAAGTGCGGCCACCCTTCTCCTCCTGGCTCTCTGCCTTTCCTGCCTGCTGCTGCTCCTCCGAGGAGGACGAGGGGGCACCAAGGCACGGCTGCCCCCGGGACCTCGGCCCTTGCCCTTCATTGGCAACCTGCCACACCTGGATGCCAAGAACATGATCAAGTCCCTGATGGAGGTAAGCTCAGCCTCTGACACAAATCCAAGTGGGAGAAACTTTGGGGCAGCCTGGCGATGCTCTGTGGAGGACTTCTGTGGCCCTTGGAGGCGGCAGTGGTTGAGCCAAGGCCTCCAGGGATGGGGCTCCCCCAGGAGGCACAGCCCAGTCCTCCTCCTCCTCCTCCCCCCCCAGCTCGGCAGGCAGTACGGCTCGCTCTTCACCATCCACATGGGCTCCCGGCCGGTGGTGGTGCTGTGCGGGTACCAGGCGGTGAAGGAGGCCCTGGTGGACCGAGGCGAGGAGTTCAGCGGCCGGGGAGACATGCCGGTCCTGTTCCGATTCACTCAGGGGAACGGTGAGTCTGGCTGGCTGCAGAGCTTTCCTTGGGGTTCCCTTCGGCGGGAGAACGGGGCCCCCCGGGACAGGTGGCCCCTCCCTCAGCTTCCCCCGGAGCGTGGCTGCCCCAGGGTGGGCAGGGAGAGCAGCTCGCAGGCTCCAAGCAGACCATCGCAGGTCAGTCTCTTCCGTGTGAGCGATCCTTTCTCCAGTACCAAGGGGGGCCCCCCATCCCAGTCCAGGGAGGGGCGGTCTGCCCTTGCTTGCTTGTGGACATCTGGTGGCCCTCAGGCTGTCCAGGAGAAGCTGCTCTGCTGCAACCGCTGGGGCCCCTCCCGCCCTTGTCTCCTCTGCCCCTCATCCAGGCGTCGCCTTCTCCAACGGGGAGAAATGGAAGAGCCTGAGGCGTTTTGCCATCCAGACCTTGCGGGACTTCGGGATGGGGAAGCGCAGCATCGAGGAGCGAATCCAGGAGGAGGCCCAGTGCCTGGTGAAGGAGTTCGCCAAGCGGACAGGTGCTCAGGGCTGCCGGGGGGGGGGAATGCTTAGACGGCAGAGCTGCACCTTTGCCCCCTCCAAGCGGGACTTCACCCCGGCAACGTCTTAGAACAGTTTGTGGCATGCTCTAAAAAGGCTGATCGGCAAGGAGGGATCTAGCAAAGCGCTCTGGAAGGCTCCGCCCGGCCCCGGCAAGGAGGGAGGCCTGGGGGGAAACGAAGAGGGTGAGAATAATCGCAGCAAAGTTGAAGAGCAGGGCGAGAAACAGACTGTTCACTTTAACAGAACAACCGAGTTGAAAGGGACCTCAGAGGTCTTCTAGTCCAACCCTCTGCTCAGGTAGGAAACAAATGAGTGTCCAGTCTCTTCTTAAAAGCCTCCAGTGATGGAGCCCCCACTATTTCTGGGGGCAAATTGTTCCACTGATTTATCTCACTATCAGAAAATTTCTCCTTAGTTCCAGGTTGCTGCTCTCCTTGATTAATTTCCATCCTTTGCTCCTTCTCCTGCCTTCAGGTGCTTTGGAGGATAGGTTGACCCCCCCCCTCTTCTTTGTGGCAGCTCCTCAAATACTGGAATACTGATACCATATCTCCCCTAGTCCTTTTCACTATACTGGCCATTCCCAATTCTTTCAACCGTCCTTCATACAGTATGTTTTAGCCTCCAGTCAACTGATCATCTTTGTTGCTCTGCCCTGCACGCTTTCCAGACACTACAAAACTGGTGACAAACACTGGATGCCGTATTCCAAGTGTGGCATCACCAGTGTTAGCACTTCATGTGATCTTGATGCTCTCCCTCTGCAGCCTAGGATTGCACTGCTGACTCCTATTTAAGCGCTTGTCCCCTAGCACTCCAAGCTCCCCCTCACAATTGCTGCCTTCGAGACGGGTTTTGCCTAATCTGTGCTTGTACCTTTGGTTTTCCCTGCCTTGCTTTTCTCCAGATTAAATTTCATGATGTTGGATAGGGCCCATTGTTCAAATCTGTCAAGAGCGTTCTGTATCTTAAGCCTATCTTCTGCGGTGTTGGCTCTTCCTGCCAGTTTAATGTCGTAAGGAAATTTGATGTTCTCCTTCTTGTCCACTTGTCCTAATCCTTGATGAAGATATTGAAGAGTTCTGGGCTTAAGACAGAGCCTCAGGGTACCCCACTGCCTACTTCCCTCCACGTAGCTGCAGTTCCGTTAAGTTGAGCCCGGTTGGTCAGTCAGTTACGAATCCATCCAGTGGTGATGTTGTCCATCCCACATTTTTCTATCTTCGTGGAAGGTTCTGCTCTGAGAGATTCAGGCTCCCCCCTTGGGCAATTCTTGCCTTCTCACTTTTGTGAAGAAGTACCAGCATGGGCGGGGGGGGGGGAGCTCGCTGGCCAGCCTGCTGCTCAGCCGCTCAGCCGTTTTGCTTTCGATGGTGCAGAGCCCTTTGACCCCACGTTCCTGCTTGGCTGCTCGGTCTCCAACGTCATCTGCTCCATAGTCTTCGGAGATCGATTTGACTACGAGGATCAGCATTTCCTGACATTCATTGGGCTGATCAATGACAACTTCCGCCTCTTCAGCTCCCCTTGTGCCCAGGTGAGCGGCTGCTTGGGGGGAGGCCAGGCAGTGCCGGACTCTGGGCAAGAGGAGGCCGATGGGCCTTGCAGGAAGAAGCAGCCCCTCCGCTCCACGGCTCCCCTTTCCCGTCAGGCCCCTCCTGCTTGGCAGCCATGGCAGCTTCCTTCTGATAAACTCAAGGTTTCATCTTCAGAGTACAAGCAGAAATCAGAGCCCTCACACCTCTTCTCAGCCTCGGGCATCACTTTCATGGCATCTTCCCAAAGGTGCTTTGGTTTGAAAGAGGAGTCAAAGAGTCCATCTACATTAAAACTGGTTTGAAAGAGGAGTCAAAGTCCATCTACATTAAGATTGCCCTCTCTCAACAGAAGGGGAGGGATACGACACCACCCATTTCTTGTTTACAACACAGTCCTTTCAGCACTTCCAAGAAGGTTCCAGACCCATTTGCACTCTGACTCAGGGACCCTGAGGGCACAGATGGACCCCCAAGTGGCCCCAACAGAACTGATGAGAAGTGAAACATCTTCAAGAAAAAACAAGGTCCAGTTGCCTTTTGAAAAAGCACCTTTGGGACGATGCCATGAAAGTGATGCAAAAGAAAAGGCAACCTTTGGCTCAGGTCTTGATCTGGACCTGGGCCTTTCTGGCCCATCTCAAAGCACATTCAAGATGAGGGGGAGACCCCCACACACCCATCTCTTACCCTCTCCAGGGTTGAGGGTTGAAGATGGGAGAGGCTTCCTGAAGCCGCGGCCCCAAGAGCCCAGGGGAAGCTGGGGAGCTGCAGGAGAAGGGTGGGGTTGTGTGTGTGTGTATCTTTGTATCCTTTGTCCCAGCTTCCCAATAGGGATTGGCCTGATTGCCTTCCACCCCCCCCCCCTTTGGCTGCCTCTACATCCCATCCCTGCTTGCTCTTTCTAGATGTACAACATTTTCCCCCACATCATGTATTATCTGCCTGGACCACACAACCAGATTTTTGCCAACTTTGAGAAGCTGCGGGCGCTGGTGAAGGAGATGGCCAAGGCCCACCAGGCCAGCCTGGACCCCAACTGCCCGCGCGATTTTATAGACTGCTTCCTCCTGAAGATGCAGCAGGTGAGAGTGGGCTTTGTAGTCCCTTGTGGGGGCCATGGGGGCTTCCACAGGCGGAGGAGGGCAAGGGTGCTGTTGGTCAAACACGGAGCGGTGGCTGCAGTAAGGGTGCAATTTGAGGAAGGGGAGAGGAGGCAGCGCTGTGTTCCTCTCTGCGAAATCTCCCCGGCTGGTGCTGTCCAACGGCTGAACCTCCGGCTGAGCCGCACACAGCCCGGCGGCTGCAAAGGCCGGGGAGAGACGTCCCTCGGAGGGAAGCGGCTTCTGCTCCCCTCGGTCCATCCCTCAAGGGGAGGGGGAGGGCAAAGAGGAGGCCCTCCTTTTTCTCACATCGGCTTCCTGAGCCCCCCCTGCCCTCCCTCCCCCCCAAGCAGGGCAGGGAAGAGCAATGGCTGATGGGCTCACAGGCAGCCCCGGGGCAAACCTCCCATGCAGGGAATCGGCTCTTTTAGCTGCAGGATCTGAAAATTCATGTGGTTGCACATTCGGTGAAAGGGGAGCCCCTCCCTGCACAAGGATTGCCTGGCCCTGCAAGGGGAGGCGGCGCCCCTGGCCACACACGCTCACGCCTGGGCATCCCTGTGTCCGCAGGAGAAGGAAGACCCCCACAGCTTCTTCCACACCGACACTTTGATCATGACCACCCACAACCTCTTCTTTGCGGGCACCGAGACCATCAGCACCACCCTACGCTACGCCCTCCTCATCCTCATGAAGTTCCCCGAAGTAGCAGGTGAGGCCGAGGGGGGGCTCCCCCTAGGTTCACAGAGAGGCCATCGCCGTGCCTGGCATCTGAGCACCCGAGGCGGGTGAAGGTGGCCCTGGCCCATCGCCCCTCTCCAAGGCCGGCTTTGCCCAGCAGGCACCGCTTGGGAAAATGGGCCAGAGAGAAGGGAGGCGGGTGGGGAGCCCGGGAGAAGGAGCACTGTGGAGCTGGAGGGATGGATCAGGGCCTGTTCAGTCCTCAGAGCAGCCGGTGGGGGGCTCCTGCCCCTCCTCGCCCCTCTGTCTGCAGCCAAGGTGCAGGAGGAGATCGCGAAGGTCATTGGCTCAGAGCGCCAGCCCTCCATTGCGGACCGGGCAAGGATGCCCTACACGGATGCTGTGATCCATGAGGTCCAGAGGTTCGCTGACATCATCCCCATGGGCATCCCCCATGCCCTGACCAAGGACACCCATTTCCGGGGCTTCTTCTTTCCAGAGGTGCGTGAGGGCAGCAGGGCCCCCGGAGAGAGTGCCGTGGGGTCTGGGCTGGAAGAGGGTTGGCCTTCAGCGCCTGCTCAGCCTGGCTGTGCTTCTCCCTCGGCAGTCAAGGCAGCTGCTCTCCCTTAGAGGAGGGCCTGCGTGGGTTGCGTTGTCCTCTCCGCAGGGCAGAGGAGGGCGGTGAGTTGGGTGGCATCAGCACAACTGTCTGGTTTCACACCCGTCTCTTTTACACTAATGGTGCCAACAGAGGTGGCTGATTGGTGGATGGATGCAAATATTATTTGTGCCCGCATGCTGTTGTTGCGTTTCTTTGTTGGATTGCTTTAAATGATTTTTATTTTCTAATCATATTGTGTGTGTGTGTTTTTTTTAAAAAAATCTTGTTTGCCACCCAGAGTTTCTTTTGGTAAATGGGTGGTGATATTAATTTTTTAAGTCAACAAAAAATATTGGCAGAGCCAGTTTGGTGTAGCAGTTTAGACACTGGCTAGAAACCGGGAGAGCTGAGTTCTAATCCTACTTAGAAAGGGGCAAAGGTCTCCACTGCTGTGCAGTTTCTCAGTTTAGCCATTTTCAAAACAGGTGTGCAAATTTTTATGTTCATTTTCACACATATTTCCTCTAAGTTAATGTAAGTATGACTTTTCCATTTACACATTTTTCAGTGATTCTTTCCCCTGTCTTGTGCCTAATACATTTTGGACGGTCTTTGCTGCATATATGTGCATTTTCCCAGGAGGTGCATTCTACACGCAGCTGCAAACTTTGCTGTGACATTGGCTGGGTGCCCTTTCAACAGGCCCCTGTGTTTTTCTTCTACAACCTGCTGTCCACCTCGACTGCAAAACCACGAAACCACGAACCAAGTGGGGACCTTCCATCTGTCCCCGTGTTTCTCGGTTGCGGAGGACGGGAGGCCCGGTCTTTCGGACGGGGGTGGGTGGGGATTAAATAGGAGGATGCAGGAGTAGGAAGGCCAGCTAAGGCGGCCTCCAGGCGGAGACGTTCCGGGCTCCTTTGCTTCCCTTCCTCCCTTCCCAACAGGGCACCAACGTTCTGCCGTTCTTCCACTCCGTGCACCGAGATGCCACCCAGTTCAAGAACCCAGAGATGTTTGACCCCGGGCACTTCCTGGACGAGGAGGGGGCCTTCCGACGCTCCAACGCCTTCATGCCCTTCTCCGCCGGTGAGGGGAGGGGGGGAGGGGGCCGGTCAAAGGCCAGCCGGGGCCTCCCTGACTGTGCCCGGGGCGCCACTGCGGGGGGGGAGGGGGGGCAGGGCAGGCGTGGCTTTCCCAGCGAGGGGCGGGCGGGCGGGGCGGCTGACTTGGCACCGGCCCCTTCCCCGGGGAGAGCGGCGGCCGCCCTTTGCAGCCGGGAGGGGAGCTCAGCAGCCTCTCCCCCCCCTCCTTCGGCCCTGCAGGGAAGCGGCTGTGTCTGGGCGAAGCCTTGGCGCGCATGGAGCTTTTCCTCTACCTGAGCGCCCTCCTGCAGCGCTTCTCCTTCCAGCCCAGCTGCCCCCGCGACCAGCTCGACCTCTCGCCCATGATGAGCGGCATCGGGAACGTGCCGCGCCCCTACTCCTGCCGCCCGCTCCCCCGCTGAGGCCGCCGCCGCCGGGGGGGGGGGAGCGAGGGGGCAGCCCGGGCCGGCCTGGACCAGCCCGCCCTCCCGAGCGGAGCGGGAGCATCTGGGCGGCGGGAGAAGCGCTCGACTCGCGGGCTCCTCGCGCGCCGCTTCCGGCTTCCCGCTTCCCCTCTCTTTCGGCGCGGAGGCTCCATCGCGCGGACGTCGGACCCCGGCAGGCCAAAGCCGGGCAGGTCGGTGGGGCCGCTCAATTGTCTGACCACGATTCGTAGCGCTGCGACTGGACGGAGTCCGGCGGGGGCGCGGAGCCCCGAGGTGCCGGCCAGCCCTCTTCCCTTCGCCGGCCTCCTTTCGGGGAGGGCAGCGCCGCCCCGACTTCTCTGGGGAGCCCCGAGCTGCTCCCGCAGGTGCCGCCCGCCGCCTCGGGGGGATCTGCCCGGGGTGCTCGGGCGCAGCTGCCGGTCCTCCTGCCCTTAGCCGGATGCGAGGCTTTGGCTTTCAGGGCTGCGGAGCGCAAAAGCCCCGTCGAGCGCCTGGAGCTCTGCCCGGAGGGAGCCTCGGCCGGCCTCGTTTCCCGCCTGGAACGATTCCAGGAGGCACCGAAGGCAACACAGGGAGACAAGGACGCCCGGCGCATAATGCCCCCCCCTCCCCGTAAGTCGTGCAATAAAAGGCTGGGAACGTTTTGCTCAATTGTATGTAATCCACACCCTTCCCCCCCCATCCCTCCATCTAATACGGCACTTGAGAACCCTTCACGCCTATTATGGGATGGAATTTTTCAGGCCCTGAGGGTGAGGCTGAAATGTGATAATTTCGCAGAGGGACAAAAAGAAATAAGTAACATTATTATGCAAAAGTTGAATTGCACAGTACCAAATGTTTTCAAAGTTTACTTCCAAGTCACCCAAGGGACATTGCCAGATTTTTATGTTAAAACACTGACAGGTGTTTCACGGTCCAAGGGCCTGGAATAATCCTGCTTTTGTAGAGGTTCTTCTGCTCTGCTAATCAATTTCAGCAAGCTTTTATCTTTCAGAATTGTTTATAATCTGTTTTGAGGGTCTTCGGGATTGGAATGGGGGATACAAATATTCTGAATAAAATGCCAAGCAAGCAAGAGTAGATCCCCTTCTGCATTCGGGACCAGGGATGGGAATCTGGGCGGGATTTGCACACAGACTGTTCAATCACCGGTGTGGCCAAAACCTCCCTTCCTCCAGGCTCTCGTGACTTCCAGCCAGCAAGATTTGGCATTCGGGAAGGCAGGAATGGCCCACCCTGCAGTAGCAGCGTGATAGAAACCCATCCAATCAGAGGGGGGGGGCAGAGGGGATCCCTTTGAAAACCATCAGCTTTCCTTTGGTGGCTGTGAGGAGCAGCGACCCGCTGAGGAATTGGCTCTGGCAGCTGAGCTGTCCTCCCCCCTGGCTGGCTGGGGCAGACGCTGTGCAGATTGGCCTGTCTTCCTATGGGGCACCTGGATGTGCTTCTCCACCCCCCCAGTCCTCTTTCTGAAAGCCACCCCCGCAAAGTGGCTTCTCCCTCTGCCAGTTGGGCAACCAGCCTGCTCACTCAGCATCGCCACCCCTGGTGCTCCCTCCGCAAGTTTCCCTCCCCTGGATAATGTGGCATAAAGTGAGGGGGCTTTGGGTAAAGAAACCAGAGCCAGCGCTTCCTATTGCAGACCTCCTCAGCCTTGCCAAGGCCCTTCGCAGCACCCAGCTCCGTCCTTGGCATCTCCAGGGCAGGGGGGTCATGCGCCCCTGAGGCCCTCCTCTCCGGCACTAGACAAGCTCTGCTGGGTGCCAGGCGCAGCCCAGAGCCCGAGAGAATGCCTGGGCATCCCCTGGCACCAGGGCAAGCGTCTCCAGAGGAAGCCCCACCGGGAAGGGGGAGGCAGGCAGGTGGGGACTGGCTTGACTGGGAAGGCTGGGAGCACTGGGGCCAGAGGAAAGCGAGACAGCGTCACAAGGGAGGGGTTGGGGGGTCCACCTGAGGGGGGGCATGGGCATCTGGACTGGGAGGTGAGCAACCCAGAGCAGCTGGGCCCCCCAGGGGAGCCAGCCCTTCATCGGGGGAGGAGGCAGAACCGGTAAGGCCGAGGGATGCTGCCCAGGCCGGTGGACTCGGGGGTGATGTCGATGTCCTTGGGGTCCACCAGGGCTTTCAGCCGGAAATTCTGCAAGATGGTGGTGAGGAAGAGGAAGAGCTCCATGTTGGCCAGGCCTTCGCCCAGGCACACCCGCTTGCCTGTGTGGAGAGAAGACTTCCTTGGCGCCTCTACTAGCGGGGGGGGGGGAAGGGGGAAGCCCAGCCTCGCACCCCCCCAAACCTCTGCTCTTTCCAAAGCTCCTCCCTGCCGATCCTGCCCTACTGGCTGAGCATGATGAGCTTTGCAGTCCAGCACCTCTTTAATTGCCTCAAGGCACTCCTGGGAAGATGCCAGGCGACCCTCCTGTGCCACCCTGACCCCCTCTCTGCCTCCCTTTTGTGCCAGAGGAACGGACGAGGCTCACAGCCTCTCCTGCCAGGGGTGGGTGAGGCCTCTTGGCACCAAGGGAGGCCGAGGGGTCCCTGGAGCCAGGAGCAGGGATTCCCCAGGGCGACCCCTTCCCCTTACCTGCTGAGAAAGCCATGAAGGCCTCCCTCTTCCTGAACCGCCCGGCCTCGTCCAGGAAGTGGGTGGGGTCGAAGGCCTTGGGGTTCTTGAACTGCGTGGGGTCAAACTGGGACGTGCAGAGCAAGGGGATGATGTTGAGGTCCTGGGGGGGAGGGGGAAGGGTTAGGGCTGGACAGCCTCGGTGGACAGAGGGCAGGCTGTGGGCGATGCCAGCCTCCCCTAAGCCCAGTGCTCCCCTACTGAGCGGAGAAGGCAGTCCTCGTAGGCGTGGGCAGAGTGCTTTCTGCGCAGGGCACCCTCCTGCCTGCCTCGCCATTTGGACTTGGAGAGAAGACAGACGCGGTTCTCACTTTAGGAACCGGCCCAGGCCGATCGCGGCACAGGCTGCTGCTGCTGGGCCCATCCCATCTCCCCGCCCCACACGCCCCACTTCCCCAACCTTGGGGAGATGATATCCCCGGAATTGGGTGTCCCTTGTGACTGTGTGGGGCACCCCCATCGGGACGATGTCGGCGTAGCGCTGGATCTCGTGAATGACCGCGTCCGTGTAGGGCATCTGGCTCCGGTCGTCCATGCAGGGGCCACGGTTGCCCCCGATGACCCGGTCGATCTCTTCATGCAGCTTCTCTGCCAGAAAAGCACCAGAGTCACCCTGAAAGCCACGGCAGGTGGGAGGGGCCACCCGAGGTCCCCACTGGCAGCGGGGGGGGGAGGAATTCAAAGGGTGCTGCCTGTCCTGCTGCTTCAGATGGTGGACTCTGCGTCCCCAACGGTCCTTTCCCTCCGAGACTCCCACGTGCTCAGGCGCCGCAGGGCCCCCCATTCCCCCGTACCTCCCCCCGGTTTACCTTCCACCTCGGGGTGCCTCAGGAGGATGCGCAGCCCGTAGCGCAGGGTGGAGCTGACCGTCTCGGTGCCGGCAAAGAAGAGGTTGACGGTGCTCTTGGACATCGTGTCCTCGTTGAAGTGAGAATTGGGATTGTTCTTTTCCTGCAAGGCGGAAGAGCCGGTTTGGTTCTTCAAACATGGCTGCAAAGAGGCTCCTCTCCCGTTGAGACACTGAGGCCGAGAGATCTTGCTTGGAGGCTTTAGAAATTGGACCCCCCCCCCACTGGCCCTTTTCGAGCGGGGCCCGGGAAGGGAAGGCTCAGCCTGGCTCTCCCGCAACAGAGCTGCTGTCCCTGAGGCCCAAGCAGAGCCAGCGCGGCTGCACGGCCCTGGGTGTGAGAGCCCAGAGGGGGATGCAGCAACCGTCGTGGCCTCCTCCAAGGAATCCTGGGAATGGGAGTCCGGGAGAAAGCCCCTTCCCCCGTCGGCAGGGCCGGGCAGGGGCCACAGTGCTGGGCCGGAGGTGGATACCTGCTGGATTTTGATGAGGAAGCAGTCAATAAAATCCCGGGGGGAGTTGGGGTCCAGGGTCTGCCTGTTCATCTCCAGCCGCTCGCCCACAAACTTTGCCAGCTTCAGGTAATTAGCGTAGATTCTCTGGTGGGGTCCTGGGACCCACCTCATGATGTTTGGGAAGACGAAAAGCAGCTGAAGGAGAAGGGCGAAACTCTGCTCTGAAGGGGTTCCTGGCCGGCCGGAGCCCACCTGCTCTCTGCCCAGCCCAGCCCCTCCATCCAGATGCCCCTGAGCCATGGGGGGAGCCCTCAGGGACCGAGGGGGGGCGCTCAGGGGCTTGTTCTGCAGGTCACAACCCCAACCCCCTGCGTTATGAGGTGGGGAGGAGGGACCCCAGAGACTGGCCCGGGAGGTCTTCTCTGGTCCCCCCCAGTTCTGGGACGGGCCATCAGCCACCAACTGCAACCTTTTCCTCGGTTGACAGGGCAGGGGGTGGGGGTGGGCTTAGGGGTCAGTAAAACCCCCACACCACAGAAAGAAGAGCCAAAGCGCCAGGCCCTCTCACAGGGCACCTGCTCTGGGGGTGGCAGCGAGCGGTCAGCTGAAGATCCCATGCTCAGCTTTTAGTCTTGCATCAGCCTGGTCCTTTTTGTCCCTTGGACCCGTGGCCCTTGGCCTCCTTTGGACGTTCCCCAGAAGAGTGCCCTCTGGCTCATTGTCCCCCCCCCTCTCAATATTGCACATCCCTTCGAAGGGGGGGGGGTGAGAGTGGACAGATTGGGTAACCTCTCTCACAACTTCCTCCATTCTCTCTCTCTCTCCCTCTGGATGGTGGCCCCCTCCATTAAGGATTTTCACCTGGGAGGAGGGCTCCCTGAAGAGGGGCATTGATGCGGGTCTGGACTTGTTCTCGCTCTTTGCCCTCCTCGGATTGCCCCAGCTACACTTGGCCACCCCTGGCACATGTGGGAGGAGAGCCTGGAAACTTCCACTGGACCGGCACGGAGCGGCTAAATTATTAGCCACTAGCAGCTGCCTCGTCTGTACAAAA